GGGGGAGAAGCTGTTACCCAGGCAGCAGGGCCCCCTCTCCGCGGCGCTGAAAGTCTCAATGGAAAGGCATACACCAATACGATTGGTTCCAGCGCCGTCGCAGGAACTGTGAGTTCCGGGGTTGACCTCAAACTTGGTGAAAAAGGGCACAGGGACCTCCAACCCCACAGACCGCCGTGGACGTAGCCGGAGAAGAACCACCCCATCAAGGGTAGGAAAGACCCTAGCCTCCTGAAGCATAACCCGGGCCGCACGACCCTCGGGAGGTGGACGTCCCGGTCCCGCACCTATGGGTTCCAGACAGTGATCGTCACAGCCCTCTTTCACCCGAGGCCGGCCTCCTTCAAGACTAAGTAGAAGGAAAAGTGATAATTATTAAATACAACAATTATTATTATTATTATTATAATAATAATATATATATATGCAACAATTATTATTATAATAATATTATAATAATTATTATAATAATAATATAAATATTTAACAATTATCACTCTTCCTTCTACTTGGTCTTGAAGGAGGCCGGCCTCGAGTGAAAGAGGACGTAACGATCACTGTCTGGAACCCATAGGACATAAACGAGTGTCAAAGATTAACCCCAAAAGCTTAGTAGAATCCATGTACACAAGGGGATGACCATAACGCGACAAAGAGGCAAGAAGATCGACACGCTTCCGAGTAAAATTCATAGCCCAAGTCTTAGACGTAGAGAACTTGAAGCCATGATCGGTGGCCCAAGGCGACACGGCATCAATCGTAAGATGAAGCCGCCGTTGAAGGAGAGGCGAATCATCACCCTGACAGCAAAGGGTAAGGTAGTTGACATAGAGGGTGAAGAAGACGCCAGAAGGAAGAGAGGAAAGAAGACCATTGAGGGCAACCAGAAAAAGAGTAGTGCTCAGAACACTACCTTGGGGCACACCCTCGTATTGCCGAAAAGAGGCAGAGAGAGTGGCACCAAGCTTCACACGAATGGAACGACGAGAGAGGAAAAAACTTTGGAGGAAAAGAGGGAGATTACCACGAAGGCCAAAAGAACGAAGTTGGGACAGAATATGATATCTCCAAGCGGTGTCCAAAGCCTTTTCCAGGTAAAAAAGGACGGCGACAACGGAGGTCTTCGCAGCAATAGCAGTACGAATATAAACCTACAAGTTCTCCAGGACATCTGGTGTGGTGCGGCATTTGTGAAAACCAAATTGAGAAGGTGAGAGGTGGTGATATTATTATAAGAACTACTTCAACGAACGTTAACCATACGTTCAAAGAATTTGCAGACACAACTCGGGAGGGCAATAAAGTGGAAGTCCTGAGGGGATGTCCTGAGAGACCCTGGTTTCTGAACAGGGAGGACAACAGCATCGAGTCAGTCCTCAGTGACTGACGACGACTCCCAGACCAGGTTATACAAACTCAGCAAACACTGAGACGTGCGCGATGGGAGATGGCGAAGCATCATATAATGAATGTCATCGGAGCCCGCTGCCATAGAACCGCAGAGGGCCAGGACAGACTGAAGTTCAGAGAGAGAGATGGGATCGTTATAGGGGAAGTCTGAGATGGGTACGGAAATCTAAAGGATGAAATTCAAGAACAGGCTTACGAAGAAGGAAAGGCTAAGGAAGATGGGAACCAGAGCTAACAGATGTAAATTGGAGTTTCGGACGTAATAGTGGAAACTTAAGACTTCCAACACTCAAGTTTAGCCATATGGATGGTCTTATGGGCCACCGCACTCGTCTTTCAAAATAAAAGAAAAGAATCAGCCGTTTGCCGGCGGTGGTGTCTCTTCCAGGCTATACGCTTACAACAGACAGTCCGGGCACAGTCCACATTCCACTAGGGAACGCACTTCCGCGTGCCCCGAGAGGTAGAGCGAGGAATAGAGTGGAGGGCAGCGTCAAAGATGGTGTCATGAATAAGAAGGAGGACGCGAGGGAGAGGCATAATGGAGAGGTCGGAGAGAGTAGCTCGGAGAGTAAGGAGATTCCAGTCTGCCTTTGGCAAACTGCCATCTAGGGAAGGAGAGGGGAGGGTGAAAAGAGAAAAAAGTAACAAGGATGGGGAAATAGTCACTGCCATGGAGGTCATCAAGAACGCGCCACGAGAAATCCAAGTAAAGAGACGACGAGCAGGAAGAAAGATCAAGACAGGAAAGGGTGCGAGTTTGAGAGTCCAAAAGAGTGGGCTCACCAGAATTAAGAAGAGACAGAGAAAAAGAGAGGACGAAAGGTTCAAGAAGGCAACCTCGGGTGTTTTTCAGAACATTTGTCAGACCTGGGGGGGGGGAAGGGAAGAGAGAAAGCAATAGCCCCGGAAGCGACTGGGACAAGCACCAAACATCGGCTCCTGGAGACTGACACAAACGGGGGAAAACTGTGAAATCAGAAGTTGGAGTTCATGGAAATTGGCTTTATATCCACGAATATTATATTGAAGAAAAAAATCGACAAAAAGAGAACGAACAGCAATAGAGAACAGCAACAGAGGACAATAAAGAAACAAAGGGTAAAAAGGAACACAGCATGTTAAAAGAAGCTCAGGAGCAGGATCAGGGTCAGCAAAGTCAAGGTTAGGGGGGCATGGGTAAACTGAGTAAGGATAGAGGGAAGGGAGCTGGAGGACAGAGGTGGATGAGCAAGGTCCAGAGGTGGAGGAGGAGACAACCGAGGGTCAAGGACTGCAGGAGGAGGAGGAGGAGGCAGAAGCCGGGATGCACACCTCAGCAAGGGCAGCAACCGAGAGGGAAGCAGACATACTTTCTCTAAATCTTAGCTTCAGGCATTGTTATCTATCCAGCACAGAGATAATATACAACTCATCACTGAAATCCTACACATTGGAAAAGAAGCACGCAATCTAGATTTGTTTCTCCTCCAATGAAACCTCAATAGCAGGAAGAGGGGGCTCGACCTCTGAAACTGGAAGGGATGGAGCGATAGAATCAGAGGTGTGGTGCGAGGAAGACAGCAAAGCCTTTCTTCCCACTGGGGAGAGGTCATATGGCGCAGTAGTCACAATGAGAGATGGAGCCATGCTAGGGGACGAGACGGTCACCACAGGGGGGCGCTTGGAGCCCAACAGAGGAGGTAAGGGAGTAGCGAATGGGGGGAGGGGGGTGGGGCAGTAGTCTGGTCTGGATCCAATGTCGTGGGGGATACATAGCCCGGTCTTCCAGCACAGTCTGACCCAGGAGCCTAGTCGCCCACCCTATGAGTCTGGGGTAAGAGAGGTCGGGTCTTCATCCATTCAGCAGTCCTTCTAATAGTTTGGGGCCTGGAACCAAGGGATACCACCTACCAGGGAGGCCGAATGCGGGCCATTGCAGGAAGGGTGTGTCGTCCCCCGCGGTGCTCCACCTTTTCAACAGGGGAGTCCTACTACATCGTCCATTCTCCCACACTGGTGCTAAAACCCCATTCCCCTATCACCCCAGCCTGGACACCCAGCCATCCACTCAGGGGGGTACCTCACGGGCGACCTCTCCAGCTGGCGGTCCGATGGCTCACAAGGCCCCTACGTGATTCCCTTCTGCACGTATACCACCCAAAGAGGGGCAGGAGAGGGGGCAAATGCAGCCCTCACCGGTCCCAGCGAGGTGTATGTGAGCCCCTCAACACGACAAGGCAACACCACGGAGGGGTGGTACGAACAAGCCACTGGGTACTCCTCTCTCAAGGATTGCAAAAAGCTATCCAGATACATTGCAGTAGCAATACACCGACTCAGACTTGGCTACAAGTGCTGATGGGAAGTAATAACCCCAATAGTTAAAGAGTGGCATCTCTCTGGAACAGATGTAAAGGCGCCAATATTGCATTACTTACTAAAATATGAAGCGACTGAAGCCTTGCGCATCAAACTCATCATGCAACCAACAAGAGGGGCTGCATTAAATGGCAAATGCCCCTGTGACTACAATGATTAAAAAAACAGGGGAAGAATGGGACTCTCTAGTGAACATTGTCCATCTATATCCCCGACAAAGATAATGTTATTAAAACAAATGATTAAGCCAGTACAAAAAGAAGGAAACTCAACCTTCATTTAAAACTTTGATCCAAATATCACTGTAACAAGGTTATCAAGAATAACCGAACTCTATTACGGGCTCACTATAGCCCGTGCTAAGTGAAAATTTCAGTTCCGAATAGTTATATCTAAAACAACAACGAAACATTCATAAGGAAAATGGTATTCGTTACTGTGGTCAGCTCCTCTTGTGCTTAAGTGACTTTATGTTTGATGATGAGCTCATCCACTTTACAGGCAGGCTCTAAGTGATTAGTATTATCAATTGTATTTCTAATATTTGTTTAACAGTTATTAACAATAGTACTATAAAAATGTAACTACTGCTTGGTTAAAATTGATGATGTGTTTGGAGTCTGAAGATACGAATTTATTAGTATCTCTATCCAATGTGGTGTAGCAAAACGCGCTGTTGACAAAGATATGTTTGGTTTTAAACACACCTTTTCATACGATTTTACACATTATTTTATGCTCGGCATAGGTTTTAATTACCTTTGGTGTGTATCATTCAAGATACTAAAAACCAGCTTTCTGGCACTTGTTTTGGCATGTATGCCTATACTAGGTACTCGTCTCAAATCTTAACTGAGTGCTTCTTGCAAAACATTCAGTTAAAAGATTGCAACCAAATTAACAAGACGCTGCTTGGGATCATAGTTGGACGAATATCTATGTGGTGGCAGACATCATTCAAGATGTTGACGGTTTAAACAAGAAACAGAATCAAGATGTTGAACAAGAGTTATAGCGAATAAACTCTTCTTTCCGGGAAAAACACAATAAGACAATATCATAAGAGAATTGGGAGCATGATAATTTAACCAAAACAACAACCCGGGAAGGAAGTAAATGTATATGACTTAGTGATTGATTTAAGTTTCATTCTTTATTAGACAATTCTTCTCTATGTTCTATATTTCTCTATGTGGTATTTAGATTATTCTCTAAATACACATTCTCAGATCACACGTCCTCAACGAGGAGAAGAATACGGTAGAGGAATGTCCTTGGGAGATGCGGCTGAGATAGCGGTGGGATCACTGCTCGGCCAGGGCACCAGCAAGCACCTGCCTACCAGTAATTCAACCCGGCTACTGCTGACAACGTGGCTGTTGTTCACGCTGGTGGTGGGCACCGTCTACAGGGGCAACCTCACTGCTTATCTCACCATGCCCAAGTACCCACCCAGACCTGAAACCCTCGATCAACTCGCCACAACCGCTCAAAAGTAAAATTATATATATACATATATATATATATATATATATATTATATATATATATATATATATATATATATATATATATATATATATATATATATATATATATATATATATATATATATATATATATATATATATATATATATATATATATATATATATATATATATATATATATATATATATATATATATATATATATTTATATATGTCGTACCTCGTAGCCAGAACGCATATCAGCCTACTATGCAAGGCCCGATAATAAGCCAAGTTTTCCTGAATATATATTTCTCTAATATGAAATGATATATTTATTATGTATGAGGTCAATTTTTTTAATGGAGTTAAAATTAACGTAGATATATGACCGAACCTAACCAACCCTACTAACCTAACCTAACCTATCTTTATAGGTTAGGTTCGGTTAGGTAGCAGAAAAAGTTAGGTTAGGTTAGGTTATGTAGTCGAAAAAACATTAATTCATGAAAACTTGGCTTATTATGCAAATCGGGCCTTGCATAGTAGGCTGAGAAGTGCGTTCTGGCTACTAGGTACGACATATATATATATATATATATATATATATATATATATATATATATATATATATATATATATATATATATATATATATATATATATATATATATATATATATATATATATATATATATATATATATATATATATATATATATATATAGCAGTCTTTCCTGTAGATACATATTATTAAATATGACCGAAAAAGTAAGATTAATAATTCTAACACGAATTTTCTCAATCTTTCGTACATTACGCTTCACTGTTGGAGGTAAATAAAAAATCACTTCTCCAAAATTCATTTTTATTTCTAGTCTGACGCGACACGGGCGCGTTTCGTAAAACTTATTACATTTTCAAAGACTTCACAAATACACAACTGATTAGAACTTACGTATCTCTGAGTTTATATCTACATTTGAGTGAGGTGGGAAGGGTGATGTGGCATTAGAACAAGATGGGATATTAATAGGGTATTAAAAGTATCAACACAAGACAGAACAGAAACAATGGGTATTAAATAGAAGTGTTTGTAGAAAGCCTATTGGTCCATATTTCTTGATGCTTCTATATTGGAGTGGAGTCTTGAGGTGGGTAGAATATAGTTGTGCAATAATTGGCTGTTGATTGCTGGTGTTGACTTCTTGATGTGTAGTGCCTCGCAAACGTCAAGCCGCCTGCTATCGCTGTATCTATCGATGATATCTGTGTTGTTTACTAGGATTTCTCTGGCGATGGTTTGGTTATGGGAAGAGATAATATGTTCCTTAATGGAGCCCTGTTGCTTATGCATCGTTAAACGCCTAGAAAGAGATGTTGTTGTCTTGCCTATATACTGGGTTTTTTGGAGCTTACAGTCCCCAGTGGGCATTTGAAGGCATAGACGACGTTAGTATCTTTTAAAGCGTTCTGTTCGGTGTCTGGAGAGTTTCTCATGAGTAGGCTGGCCGTTTTTTCTGGTTTTATAGTAAACTATAAAACCAGAAAAACGGCCAGCCTACTCATGAGAAACTCTCCAGACACCAAACAGAACGCTTTAAAAGAGACTAACGTCGTCTATGCCTTCAAATGCCCACTTGGGGACTGTAAGCTCCAAAAAACCCAGTATATAGGCAAGACAACATCATCTCTTTCTAGGCGTTTAACGATGCATAAGCAACAGGGCTCCATTAAGGAACATATAATCTCTTCCCATAACCAAACCATCGCCAGAGAAATCCTAGTAAACAACACAGAAATCATCGATAGATACAGCGATAGCAGGCGGCTTGACGTTTGCGAGGCACTACACATCAAGAAGTCAACACCAGCAATCAACAGCCAATTATTGCACAACTATATTCTACCCACCTCAAGACTCCACTCCAATATAGAAGCATCAAGAAATATGGACCAATAGGCTTTCTACAAACACTTCTATTCAATACCCATTGTTTCTGTTCTGTCTTGTGTTGATACTTTTAATACCCTATTAATATCCCATCTTGTTCTAATGCCACATCACCCTTCCCACCTCACTCAAATGTAGATATAAACTCAGAGATACGTAAGTTCTAATCAGTTGTGTATTTGTGAAGTCTTTGAAAATGTAATAAGTTTTACGAAACGAGCCCGTGTCGCGTCAGACTAGAAATAAAAATGAATTTTGGAGAAGTGATTTTTTATTTACCTCCAACAGTGAAGCGTAATGTACGAAAGATTGAGAAAATTCGTGTTAGAATTATTAATCTTACTTTTTCGGTCATATTTAATAATATATGTCTACAGGAAAGACTGCTACCAAAATATACTAATATATATATATATATATATATATATATATATATATATGTCGTACCTAATAGCCAGAACGCACTTCTCAGCCTACTATTCAACGCCCGATTTGCCTAATAAGCCAAGTTTTCATGAATTAATGTTTTTTCGTCTACCTAACCTACCTAACCTAACCTAACCTAGCTTTTTTTGGCTACCTAACCTAACCTTACCTATAAATATAGGTTAGGTTAGGTTAGGTAGGGTTGGTTAGGTTCGGTCATATATCTACGTTATTTTTCACTCCAATAAAAAAAAATTGACCTCATACATAAAGAAAAGGGTTGCTTTATCATTTCATAAGAAAAAATTTTTAGTAAATATATTAATTCATGAAAACTTGGCTTATTAGGCAAATCGGGCCTTGAATAGTAGGCTGAGAAGTGAGTTCTGGCTACTAGGTACGACATATATATATATATATATATATATATATATATATATATATATATAAATATATATATATATATATATATATATATATATATATATATATATATATATATATATATATATATATATATATGTCGTACCTAGTAGCCAGAACGCACTTCTCAGGCTACTATGCAAGGCCTGATTTGCCTAATAAGCCAAGTTTTCTTGAATTAATATATTTTCTCTAATTTTTTTCTTATGAAATGATAAAGCTACCCATTTCATTATGTATGAGGTTAATTTTTTTTATTGGAGTTAAAATTAACGTAGATATATGACCGAACCTAACCAACCCTACCTAACCTAACCTAACCTATCTTTAGAGGTTAGGTTAGGTTAGGTAGCCAAAAAGTTAGGTTAGGTTAGGTTAGGTAGGTTAAGTAGTCGAAAAACAATTAATTCATGAAAACTTGGCTTATTAGGCAAATCGGGCCTTGCATAGTAGGCCGAGAAGTGCGTTCTGGCTACTAGGTACGACATATATATATATATATATATTTATATATGTCGTACCTCGTAGCCAGAACGCACTTCTCAGCCTACTATGCAAGGCCCGATTTGCCTAATAAGCCAAGTTTTCCTGAATTAATATATTTTCTCTAATTTTTTTCTTATGAAATGATAGAGCTACCCATTTCATTATGTATGAGGTCAATTTTTTTAATGGACTTAAAATTAACGTGGATATATGACCGAACCTAACCAACCCTACCTAACCTATCTTTATAGGTTAGGTTCGGTTAGGTAGCAGAAAAAGTTAGGTTAGGTTAGGTTAGGTAGTCGAAAAAACATTAATTCATGAAAACTTGGCTTATTATGCAATTTGGGCCTTGCATAGTAGGCTGAGAAGTGCGTTCTGGCTACTAGGTACGACATATATATATATATATATATATATATATGTCGTACCTAGTAGCCAGAACGCACTTCTCAGCCTACTATGTGTTACGGTGCCCTCTCCTATTTCTTTCGTTTGCCGGCTTAAAGAGTCATAAGATTATCGTCACAAGAGAAATATATATATATATATCTATATAATATAATAGATATATATATATATATATATATATTTTTATAATATATATATGCAATTGGACGATCACAAAACACTGATCATTTATGCGGAAAAATCCACAGCGAAATATGAAATGAGGTGAACGTTTCGGCTTTGTTAAAAGCCTTTGTCAACACCAGACTGACTAAGGAGAAGGGAGAAGGGGGAGGATAGATAGGCCCGACACCTGACCAACACCATCCCTAGGGTTGGTCAGGTGTAATTAACCAAAATCAGGTATAGCTTAGCTTAGAATGGTCAAAGAGGATTAAGCGGTCAGAAAATAAGGATGAAAGATTAAAGAAAAGCCTCATGAACACACATATATGAATATACACTTATAATGAGACATTGTAAGCTTCTCTATCAGAGTTGTTTCTTAAAATTTTGTGCAATATTATAACTTAAAAATGGATCAAGTTTGTACATTCCAGTACTAACATTAAGCAGATTTGGACACGGACTGATTAGAGCAGACTCAATCAAATTCCGTTCCACACGAAATCCCCACAATTGGTAATGCTTTTTGCCCCATTCCAGTTAATATTGTGATCGCATAAACTCGTATGTAGATACAATGCAGTTTAGACGTTTGGGCAGTTCTAATACTATAAGCATGTTGTGAACAACCGCAGTTGTAAGGACTTTCCTGTTTGTCCAAGGTACACAGAATCACAATCATTGCAGGGAATCGAATACAACACAACCTGCTGTATCAGGGGAGTTTTTTATTAAATTGGATTTGATCGTACTATTGGGAACACCAAATTTATATTAAGTTTCTTAAAAATCAGAGACAAATTTTCAAGTCCATCCGCAAAAGATACCCCCAATGGACTTGATAAATTGTGGGTCTGATTTTAAGAAACTTATTATAAAACGTTGGTGTTCACTAATACAAACGATCAAATCCAAACACTCTTAGGATATTGTAAACTCTCCTGATTTCATATATTTTAGCAATCTCTTCATCAAAAAACTCAGAGCTGCAAACCCTCAAAGCTCGTAGAAACATTCCTGAAAATACTGCCTGTTTAAACTTTACTATGATGATTCGAATAAAAGAACATACGAACAGCAGGTTGGTGTGTTTTCCGATTCCCTGCAATGATTTTGACTTCTAGTGTACCTTGGGCAAACAGGAAAGTCCTTACAACTGAAG